GTACACCAGGTCACCTGCAGAAGTTAAATAATATCGTGGCTGTTCATTAATTAGTCTGATTATTTTTTAAGTTAACATTCACCAGTTCGGCTTTACAATATTCTGATGCTGCTGTAACGTTAACAGTTTAAGTAGAACCCGAGAGCCCGTAAAGCAAATTCAACTTCTCGTCAAGATACAGCTTTAAATACGAATATTAGTAGTTCAAACTTTACAAATAATTAAAAAGATTTGGTGTATCATCTCTCATACATACAGACTGCGGAGTGTGTTTTTGCATGCGACCGGTATTTCGTTAGTGCTTGCTTACTTCGGCCCTCTGGTTTAGGATGCTGCAGCTGGTCACAGTTTCGCACACCTTTTCTTCAGGCTGCACCGCCTCCCGAACAGCTTTCTCTGGATCCGGTTTTCCAGCTGAAGATTTCGGTAGGGTCATCTGGAACGCGCACCAGAGAATTGTACGTGCTTTACGTGTTGCTACGCTCATCTCTTTAATTGCCAAAGCAAGAGCAAACACATCTGCAGGGAGGAAACGGCGTTTTAATCTTTATTACACAGGTCACCAGCAAGTGCTATTTGGGATTCATTCACTCTGGCAATGCTAAAACCAGCAAAACTTTTTAGGCCCTTTTTAGCGTCTGATTTTGTGGCTGTCTCTTTATAAGGCTGTAAAAGCTGCATCTAAGAAAGCAGTGATTTTTAGGCCCTTGTACAAAGAGTACATGGAATTTAGGTACTTCTTTTGTTACAGCTCCCGCTTAGCTGTCCCCGATGACCAGGAGCACCTAAGCCTTACGGTCGGCTGTGTTTCGGAAAGCGTTCCACGTATGCGCGTACTGAAGGCATCTCGCCCCTTCCCGTGCAAGCTCATCGCCGGGTGTTCACAGCCACCCCTCCAGACCCACAAATTGGATCCTCTGCCCATCTGATTAAGACAGGTGAAGGAACAGCTCGTTTATGGCATTTTATTAAAGCATACAGATCACGTTCTGCAAAAACGCGTCAAACACTTTAAAATAAAGAGTAAGGTGGTGCAGCGGTCCCTTTGTTCAACAGCAATGTCTTCATGCATAGATAATGCTTTGATTTTAATTCCAGCCTGTGTGTGAGCAAACAAATTCGATACCCTCTTCTAGGCACCAGAGTTTTCAGCCAGAACTTGCATGTTATTTTGGGGCAGGGGCACCCTCACTCTTCTCGGAGCTGGGTCACACCACACCGTACGCTGGGCTGCACAGAAAGCACGTGTGCACTTCCCTCCCTGGTCAAATATTTCCGTGGGGGCTGGAAGCAGTGGAAGTCAAAGTCTGCTCTTCCAAGCGCTCGCGCTCAGTAAGCATGACTGCGGTTTCGTTTTATTGCAAAAACCTGGCACCTACCTTCAACCAGAATTCTTGGATTCACTGTTCCAGGTGAAAGCATCCCCCTCCTGGCGGCGCCGGGGGCATCTCAAAAAAGGGCAGAACGTAAAGGCCTAACCGTATCCCCTCACCATCCCTCCTCACCAGCTCGTCTGGCTCTCACTCCCCAGGCTGGTTTCTGTGAAACCCATTCTGAGACATCCCTCCTTCCTTCTGCACCAAGTGACCACCGGCTCCTCTACAGTTACCACTGCTAAGCAGGAGCAGTACAGAAAATCGATTTAGGTAACTGTGAAGAATCACCATGAAAATCCACTTGTCCAACACAAGTGCCAGCCATCCAAAGAACTTTAGAAGGTCGTGTTTGGAAGGGTAACTCCAGAGAAATAAAGGACAGAATACAGAGTGGGAGGACGTGATTATCAGGTCTTGTGCTTTCAAAATTCCAGTTTCCACCCCAAGCTTTGTGGAATCAAGAAGAGACTACAGGAATGGCGTCATCGGGACTGCCTAGGAGAAGCTAAGAAACAAGCGGCACTCACGTAAATGCGCATCTCAAAGCTGTAAGGTAGGGCTGGCATTTGGGTCACTACCAGGGAAGAAGGGAAAATCCCGGAGTAATAAGGAAGAGTTGTTTTAAAGTCTTTGGCTGAATGCAGTGCCTGAGAGTTACAGACACGAAAAAGGTCTTTTCTCCCCTCAGATGATCTGTAACATCTATATCCTTCTGAAAGATCCTGAAAACTAAATCTAGGGTGATCTCAAAGCAGAGGTATGGTCAGACAGCTCTTAAAGGCTTGACGGCTGTTCTGGGTGACAGACGGCACTCCCTAACACCCTTTTCCTGATCATTGTGGTTTCTTCCAGAACTTCATTAAGCAGTCAAAAACATTTACAAACAACTGCCGGATACCTCGTACAGTTCCACAACTTCAGTGTGTAACAGTAGAAGTTTTCAGCCCCAGGTTGTCCATGAATACAACCAATATGAGGCAGCTCAGATCCACCTGCTTCCCACTGAAGTAAATCTGTGTTGTGACTGAAGTGGGGGAGCTGGGAGAAGACCAGACCACGGCTCGCGTATGAATTTTGTTTAAATCAAACTTCCTGGAATAGAGGACACAACAGACAGGTCCTGCTGATAAGACGTACTTCAGATCAGATCAGATGGAACAGAAAGGTGTTGTGGAAACAGGGTTGGGTGGGGACGACCTCTTCTCAAACAAACCAAAACTATTAACAACAAGAAAGCTCTGCCAAAGAGAGGAGATGCACCGCTTCAGGCATTTTCCTCAAGGCTTTCCCAGACCTGCAACAAATGTAGGTGCTACATTCAATAATCTACTGTTTGAAAAACCCTCCCCAGTTGCCACAACAGGCTAACGCATCGTGGGCCAGCCAGTATGGAGGATGAGAGGTAGACAAAGAAAGGGCACCCTTCGAGTTAAGTGATCAGATCCCACCGCGCGATGCCCACTTCTTTCTCTTCTCGTCTCAAAGCAGCCGGACCAGGGAGCAGATCTCGAGGTTTGACAGCTCCTCTTTTCCAGACTACCCGGTTCCGAAGAGCGAACTGATCTGGTTGAAAAGCAGTGCCAAGTAAAGCCAGCACCTATTATTTTCATGGGCTTAAACACCCAAAAACCCCTTTCATCTTAACCAGTCGCATCACCTTCAATCAAGGTAACGAGAAACAAAGATGAACAGGTGAAAAGAAAAATTGCTATAGTCTATCTTTTGAAGTGAACTTGACAATTACAGAACTGCACGACGGGACACCCCAAAGAAGTAAAATAATCCATCTAATTCAGTTGTGGAAAGAGGGGCAGGAAGTGAAGAGAGGACTCCCAGAAATGTGAGAAAGCTTCCAACACAGAGCCGTCGGTCAGAGCATCACAGGTAGCAGGAATTCATTCTGCCTCACATCTAAGAGAGGGGAATCTGCCATTCTGCCTGTGCGCTACTGAAAGATTAAGCTGAATATTCTGCATATTTTGGATACCAGTAAGAATAAAAACATTCTGACCAATATATTTTTGTGTATCCATCCAAAATATGATTTGTATTTCATGTCAATCTATGACAGAACATGCTTGAAGTGGAAATCCATTCATAATGCGAGGCCATCTTGGTCTCAGCAGGGAGATACCAAGGAAGTTCTATGCAGAAATACGGACAGGGCTGGAGGGGTGATTGGAACAGGAATACGAGGGATGGGGGAAGAAAGAAGCAATAGCTTAATATTATCTCCAATCCCCAACTGCATTACAAAAAACCCCCACTATCTCTGCATTACTTGCTAGTTTATGAAATGAATAAATGCACTCCCAATTGATTTAACTCATTTATCCGTAAAACCCAGTTTTAGTGTCCTCTCAAAACCATCATCTAAAACCCAAACAGTCTGCCTTTCTCAAAGCTCTACACACTGAAAAATAAATTAAAACTTTCATACAACCCCCCTCACACTTATTTTTTATTATAGACTTGCAATATATGTAGAATTTTTCAGCTACCTTATAAAAGTACGTAAGCATAGTTATACCTCTGTCATCTTGGCATCTGGGAGCTCCTTGCCTCTGTCGATTTGAAGCATTTACAATTTCATCTTTTCTACGTGACTGCACTACATGAATTACCTCCAGATGTTTATCAAGAGCAGTAGAAATGTTAGCATGAAGGGGAGAACTGCGAAGGCGCTCCATTTTTCCCAGTAAAGTCACAACCTAATGAACATTTTACATGTTACAGGAGTTCAAACTATACTCATCTAGACTTAAAATTAACTAGATTAGGAAGAACAGATTAACGATAACCATTATTTTCTTTAAAGAACAGTTCATAAAGTTACAGTTGAAGTAGTTAAAATTCTTACCCAGGATTTCTTCTTCTCCAAAACCGAAGCTGTAGAATACCTGGCTGTGCACAGCACAACAGCAAAGCTAAAATACCCAAACACTAGGACGCCCAGCTTACTAGTTAATAATGGGTATATACACCTTTGAGGCAACCGTGTAACAGGAGGTGGTTCCGTGACAACGTGCATTCCTCTGAGCCAAGACCACTGTGGTCCTCCCTTCCATCAGCGCTGCTGCCATTATCCGGGTGAAAACCAGTCCCCAAAGACTGGCCAGGTCTCACCCAGATGATCTCCTTGTGCTGTGCCAGCGCAAAGCAATGGGCAACGTGGGAGAGCAGCAGTCTCCGTTTGGCTAAAGCTGCTGTGGAACCACACGCGTAGGCTGACTTTCCGGGTGGATACTCAAGGCTAAAGGAGCTCTTTCAGAGAATATCGAGCACAACCACTCAAAAATCATTCAGTTTTGATTAGTTAATTGAAAATCTGTGTCTTTGTTGTCTTGTTTATCTTACAACGGTCACATTACTATGAAATTCCCCTTGGCGAGCGATTTCTCAGCTGTGGTTCACAGACCACTGAAGAACCTGGTTACTAGTCTGCAGAAAGAGAAAACTAAAAATTCCAAAAGTGTAATGTTTACTGGGCAGTGGCTACACTTGATGCCCTATAAAGAAGCCTGATGATTAATGGTCACTCACAGGTTAAAAATAAGAACCAGAGGGTCTGGGAGCACAGTGCAAAGAGAAGGTCTTGATGTTTCTGTGCAACAGAAAGACTGTAGGCTTCCCTAGGAAACAGACTGTAATGGGGCTTTTAAAATGTAAGAAAGGGTGGTTAACAAAGGAATTTGAACCAGGACAATTTGCCCAACCTGGCCCCAGTATCCTCAGAGCAGGCTGCTGGCCAAGACAGTTATTTTGGCAACAGCATCCACAACAGCAGAACAGAGCAGCCGCTCCTTGCCACCGGGCTCAGGAGAGAGCACTGAAGAAGGAGCAAGCTCCCACTGCCAGGCTCGTCCTGCTCTCCCTTAAATCTGTCGAAAGCCTGGTGGGGGGAAAACAACGTAGGCAGGAATGAACTGCGCAAGTTCCTGTGACAGCAGCAACCACCAATAAACTCAAAAAGTGCCATTTCACATTTGTAAGGAAGCTGAGAGTTTAAAAAAAAGCAAAGGGAGAACTTCACACGAACAACTGAGCAGTCAGTCACTAGGATAGGAAACTAAGGTAGGTAAGATTGATCAGAAATCCCTAGATTTGTTTCTGAAGAAAAATCCAGACTTCAAGGAGCGGCACAGTAGGATTACATAAGTAAATGAAACACAGTAAGATGAACTTGACAGTCATTTCCCAGTCTTACTGAGTAGTACGTCCACATCCACAAAAGGACTTACGTTCTGAAGACCTGGTTTTCAGGTACCACAGCATCATCCAACGGGATCCACAGTTAATAGTTAAATGCCTACGTTCTTTATACTAAGCCTGGGAGAAGTGCCAGGTGTCTAAAAGCAAAATCCACAGAAGTCGGCAAAGCTGGGCTGCCCCAGCAACCCAACAGGAACCACTGATGGCTCAAATGCTTGCCTTCCCATCCCCTCAGGTTTTTTCAGGAGTTCATCCCGCACTCCCAAGAGACACTTCCTTCCACTCACGACTCAGGGGCATTAACTAAACCTGCCCTTCTCTCGCAAAGCGCAACTGATCCCTTTTGACTGTTGCAGGGCTTGCCGAGGAATTCAGATCCTTCCCTGGGCAAAGCAGCAAGCCACCAGCGACGCTGAGGCTGGCCGCTGGAGTGGCGGGGGGCCCTTTTTTCAGGAGTTCATCCCGCACTCCCAAGAGACACTTCCTTCCACTCACGACTCAGGGGCATTAACTAAACCTGCCCTTCTCTCGCAAAGCGCAACTGATCCCTTTTGACTGTTGCAGGGCTTGCCGAGGAATTCAGATCCTCCCCGGGGAAAAGCAGAAACCCCCCAGCGACGCTGAGGCTGGCCGCTGGAGTGGCGGGGTCCCAGCGCAACAGCCAGCAGAGCCACGGACCTGCAGTCCAGAGGCGAGCATGCACCGTGGGGTAAGGACTGCCATCTCAGGCCCAGCTTTGATGACCGTTCTTCACAAAACTATGTATCTGGAACAGGGACTATAATGCTTTCCCCAGCCCAGACAGATACCCGCACTACTAGAAATAAGCTAGTATTTCCCCGCTCTGGCAAAAATCATTACCAGTCCAGAACAGAAGAGCTTCAACAGGCCAAGCTGAATGTCCGGTCTCAGAGTACCCCACAGCGGGGTAACTACGGCATTCTCCAGTTCACACGGGAGATGAGATGCAGTCTGTAGAGAGGAGATCCTGGCTTAAAGTGCGTTCTCTGACTGTTAAGTGGTTTTAATAGCTGCCGATGACATAGTGAAGGAAGCTACTGTCACCTCTCCATCAGCCATGCGTTGTTCTGGAACTGAAAGCAACTGCAAGTGGAAGTCTCAAATGAGGAAACCAAAGTAAAGTTCGTGACCACCAAGGCGATTAACTAGAGGCTCCACACCGCAAAGAGTTAATCCCAGATTCAGCCAGCTCAGCCTCCACTTGAATCTCTGTACCGGTGTTCCTCTTTGGCCATCACTAAGCTTTTTGATATTAGAATCCAGGTTCAACAGCGCCACTATGCTTTTAAGCATTCTTAAAACCACTTTTCAGTTGCTACCTAACAAGTGTGTGAGGTTCTGTACTCTGAAGCTTGGTACCTCAAATGGCTAGACAAGATTACGTCCTTTTTTAGACGTACTTTTAAAGTATTAGGACAAGGACAGGCAAGCCTTTTAAAAGTGGAAACTTCCTAACACTGTTCTTTTGGGGTTCATAAAACAGTAGTTTAAAAAGTGTACACGAAGCCTATCGACACATCTTTCACTATACTCTCCTCATCTGTACGGACAAAACCAGCCAGTTGCACAAGACAGATTTCAGCAGGCAGTGAGCAGGCATGGCTCCGTGGCTTATTTCACCTGTGCGAGACCGGTAGGAAAGGCTGCGTCTTACCACCGCTGCCCTGGGAGTGGCTGAGCTCAGCAGTACCGGCTCCTCCAAGAACAAGCATTTCTCAGAACAGCAGCAGCTGCCTTTAAATCCCACGTCCCCTCGCAGGGGCGGGCTTCAGCTTTCAGCCCACATCTCTCCTCCTTCTGCAGCACGAGCACCCCGGCTCCGGCCTCTCAGCCTCAGGAGAGCCCCGATCAGACCCTCGCTATTCCGCTGGCAGCACAGATCCGCTCTGCTTGTGCTCGCCTCCTCCCTCTCGTCTCCCCTGCAGAATTCAGCGCAGGCTGCTGCTTCACAAAGAAGCACGATACTGCACACTGGCACCATCGTTTGGCCACAGAGCCACAGGCAGCTCAAAAGACACCAGTCACGCTTGCCCTACAGGTTGTGGCTGTTTGGCTTAAGAAGCAAACTAGTAACGTAGAAAGTCAGGCTGAAGTGGCAGCAAATAACCATTCTGCATTAAAAAAATACAAGACTCTCAAGCAAATATATATCAAAGTCTTACAAACATTAATTAAACTTGCTTTTTTCCCCCCAAATACTTCCTCTAATAGCGTGTCTACAGATCTATATTGAACATTTCTCTGCTGAGCTGCTCAAAACAGAAAAGCTCAACAGTCAGGCACATCTTAGAGCTGTGCAAGCAGTTAGGCTCGATGACTGGATTCTGGCATCTCACGCACGCTTTTGTACTAGAAAACACATCCTCCCGGCACGTATGCATGTAAACGTGAGCCTCAGCTACTCAGCGGGCTCCCTGGTAACAGCAGCAGTGAACCCGGAGCTGCAGAAATTCCAGCAGGGACTGCTGAAACGTTATTCCCTGCATAGCATTTAAGAACAAAGCTATTTTGGGAAAAGCTGCCCTGATCATCTTATATATCTTATCCTGTACTCTAAGTTCTGTGTGAGAAGTTCAAGAGATTTTTTTTTTCTTTCTTTTTTAGTCCTACAACTCACTCTGGCTCGTTCACGTAGCTGATCCACAATTAAGCGATCAACTCTTGACGGGTTTGATGTCAGCCTTGGAATCGGAGTGTTGTTAGCACTGGAAACCTTTTTCCCTTGGAAATTCTTAGCAAGAGCTGATTCAGTCTGCAGGAAAACAAAAGAATAACTCCCTAAGAATGTAAGCTGCAAAGTGTGCTTCATTACAGAAACAAGGAACAATATCAGATATACAAGTTCTTTCCCTTAGGGCTTTGGATTTGTTTTTTAAAGCAGATAATGAGGATTCAGGCATTTGGGATTTAACCATTTGGTAAGACAACCACCTGTTTTCAGTGAAAAACCACTTTACTCAAAGCAGTTCAACTAAAGTAATTATGCCAACATAATGTGTTTCAGAAGTGCTACGGCTTTTCACACTGACTACAGCCTGTACTAATTTTGCCTGTAAATAAGAATGAGCACACAGGTGTGGACCTCATCCACAAAATTAAATTGTTTAAGTCAGCAAGTAACCTGAATTTTAGTCAAAATTACAGAAAGCTTTTCTGTTTTGTTAAAATGAAATCATATTTTATTTAAACATCAGAAAATTACTTTGATACCTGACTGTAAGATTTCAAATGTCACTCTCTCTCACCCCGTTGTTATGCCCCTCTGGAACACCTGTAACAACGTACAGCTAGCTACATCTGTTTTAAAATTGCATTTCTTAGGTTGTCTTGTGGTGGGCCACATAAAGCTGCAGCCTGATTTCCTCCACCGTGTCCCACTGCCATGCATGTGCCAACTCTCTCTCTTTTGCACTTTTCTATGCAAGCCCAGAGATCAATCTCCCCTCCTCAAGTCAAGCCCATTCTCTCTCTAACCCCTCTATTCAAAGCAACAAACGGCTTTTGTCAGGCAACACTTTGGCAAAAACCCTCCTGTATTGCATCCCCCCACAATTAAGTTTCTTTGGGTGGACTGGCACAGCAGAGCTCCCGCAGAGAAGCTGACACCCACAGGGCCCGGCCCCACCATTCCCAGGTAACCTTTGGTCAAGCTGCCCTCTCAAAAAGTCACAGCTCCAGATCGTGTTTGAATTTCAATACCAGCTAAACTGGGGAAATTCAGACAGCTTTTACATGCAACAAGGGGAGCCTGATGCACTTCCGCTGATGACCAAAAAGGGCAATTGCTTTAAGTAGGGCTTCTTCATACAGAGCTACCTGAATCTTTTAGTTCAGGTGTTTTAATACTACCCTTTCTTTACCCTCCATTTCTGGGGAAAAAAGAGCCCCTTCAAATACATCTTAGGTTTAAAACTTCAGGGAAACAGGAGGTGAGAAGAACTCATTGAAAGAACTTAAAGTCTAGGGCCTGAGAATTTTAATTAATTCTTGAAAGGATTAAAGTTTAGTCCCAATTCAACATATAATTAATGGATTTGCTTTCAAAGTTTCCCGATGCATTGTATTTATTGTGTTAAAAAAAAAAAAAGTGTAACATGGTTTTGTCAGTCATAAACACACCTTCCCCCAACCCCAACACAGACTGAAAGAGTCACTGAATTCCCGCTTTAAGTGCAACACTGAACACAACATTAGTTATGCTCCCAACTAGGCTACAAACCTTCAAAACTTCTGGGTTTTGGGTTTTTTTTTTATACAGGGAAGCAAACTCCTAACTTTGAAGTCCCATTAAGCATTTCAGCTCCTAACAGTGAGGATTACCCACGATCTCTAACTGGCCTGAGCAGGATGAGATCTACATCAAATCTGTGATACGGCATATTAGTTTAGGTTTTTGGTTTTTTTTTACCTTCTTTCTTTCTTTCTCCAAAGCTCTCCACTGTTCGTAACATTCTTCTAGTCTAACATGAAGTTCACTGGCAGGCCCGCTACGGGTTTTAACTTGCCTTTGAAATCCAAATGCTGGTACAAAACCAGAAAAAGAACCGTCACCGTACATCTTATCGTTAAAATAAGGGTAGAAACTTTTTAAATCATCGCGGGAGAACAAGTCGTGGGACTCCATCAGAGGGACAACGGAACGGCCAAACAGGCGAGCCGATCTCAAGGGGAACGCGCTTGAACCCAGCTGCTGCTTACGCCTAAAGTCACCCATCATGCAACTGCTGGAAAAGCTTGGAGCCTGCAGGCAAGTCACCGGATTGACAGCGCTACTGTCTCCGCTCCCCTGCCCGAGATTAAACTGACCCTGAGACTCCATGAAATCTTGGTACATGTTCTGCAACAACCCATCGCCGTGTTTTTGTCCTTCCGGATCATAATGCTCACTCTGTGGCTTCAACTGGAACCGGTGTTTGTTCATATTTTCAATGATCCCAAACTGCTGAGCTGCATAATAGTCACAGAATCCGTTTGGCTGCTTTAATTTCTTTTCACTTAAATACTCAATGAGATTCTCTTCTCCACTCCTAACTAGCGCTTCCATGCAAGCAGCAGACCGAGCTCGTTCTGCAGCGTTATAACCAAAATCAAGACTTGAAAAAAATGAAGGATTATCTTGACAGTACTTGTGAAATAAATTACTGTTTAAAGGGAAATTTGAAGATGATAACTGAAAAAAGTCATTAGAATGACTGGAACTTTTTGGAAAAGCAGGTAAATGATTATTCAGTTTCAACAAAGGATTTGGATTCTGAAATGGGACGGAAGCAGCGGGTTTAGCTGGAATGTTCATCCACGCTGACCTTACATTAGCACCTGCTGAAGGGTTTGCTGAGTTTGGTAATAATGGGAGTGATTTACAGTACTCCGAATTCTGAAGATCAGACTTGGAAAACTGCTGCTGTTCTACGCCATTTGCACAGTCATTATTCCCTGGACAAGCTGCAAAAGATTTTAGCCCATATTCAAATTTTTGCCCCAAATCAGTGCAGAATGAAGCTTCATTTGCAAATTGTTTTTCTGACAGAAGTCCTACAGCCTTGGGAAATGTAAAGTTTTGCTGATCTGAAATTGTATCTTCTATTTTTTTCTGAGTGCCTGATTTAACTTGAAATAATTTAGTATAGGGTTCTGTGTCCAGAGATGGCACCTCAATGGTTCCATTTACTAACTTTTTATTTTCTGGGAGGCTACAGTTGGTGCTCTTGTTAGGCTTTGCTTTACTAGCATGAGAATATTCAGTGTATCTACTGTAATCTGCGTTTTCATTATATCTGTGAAACTGAGAAAGAAACGTTTCTGCCCGCTTTTGGTGCGACTGTGCATCTGCTCCTTTGGGACACACCTTCTCCCTTCCGTAAGAATAAGCATCGGCTCCCGAGTCTTTGACTACTTCCGAATACCCAACTTGGGATGTAAAGGTGTTTTTCATGTACGGATAGTTCTGATACACGGGTGTTGTCTTAATATTCTCATTAGCCTGCATGTTGCAACAGCTGGCATGATCGTTCCTAGAAGGGTACAAACACTGCTCTTCAAGGTCTATGCCAGTAAACCCGCGATAACATTCATCTGCTTTTTGCTGGGATGCCAGATTACCGCTTTGCAAGTACTGTTTTTCGGCAGCAGATACGGATTCGCTACTATAAAAACCCTGTTGTGAGACAGCTGCAAGAACTGGTCTTTTCGTTTCTGGCAACAGGTCTTGGTGGTCTGCGATTCTGGTTGCATTCATGGGCCATGCTGACTTCAAGCTGGAAGGGCAGCTCCTTGAAAAACAAGAATACACGGTTACATTCTTATCTGTGGCGCTCCTCCTCCATCCCCAAATGCAGAAAAAGGTTTAAGAACCCAATTCTTCCCCAATCACTTCTCTCTATTGAGTCAAAGATGTCTTAGGCCAACTTCTATCCGCTACTGTCATCTTTGCAGTTTCCCTTAACTAGATGAGAAAACTGGTTCTGGCTTGTCTAAACCCACCCATACGCCCTAGGAGCTGCCTACAACGCCTTCCAGCTGCAAGCGATGTGTACATACTGAACTCCGTTCAGTCAATCCCATCAAGAGATTTACTGTCTGTCACCACTAAAACACTCCTGGTTAAGCAAGAAGTTACGATACCCGTACTTCCCAGGCTGCCCACAACCTTTCAAAGCCGCGTCCTAGCGCTCCAGACAAAACGCTTCTCTGTATCACCTTGCTTATCGCTTCCGAATCGCCTGTGTTTTACACTGGCTTACACTGCTTCCTGCAGGTAAATCAGGAATAAGCATCTCAGCACATTTCCTTTCCTTCCGCTAATTACCATGAGTTAACGCAGGACAATCACTGCCTGTCAAGGAAAGCTGTAAACAGACTAAGGAAAAAATGGAATTTGTGCCTGGAAGTCATTACAGTCACAGCCCAATCTGGCAGTACTGAAGACAGAAATCCAACCTTAACTGTCTGAAGCAAAGGAATTAGTAAGTTATCTTTTGATCAAGACCGACTCTCTCCGAAGTTTTCCCTCGCTTCAGCCGCATAACTCGGCACACATACAGAAATCATTGGGATTTTGGGAGAAGATAGAAAGGAAGAGTGGTGCCTGGCTTGGGAACCTTGAGAACTGGGTTTCCTTTCTTATCCTCGAATACTCAGGCAAAAGACCGTGAGCTCTCGAAGTACCTTGAGGATGCTGGATCTGAATACTTCTGTGGCAAGTTAATACGACTCTCTAATGGTTTCTTCTGGTGCTAGAATATAGGCATAATAAATCTGACATTTAGACATGCAAATATTGCTCAGGTAGCACTAACACCAAGAAACGTTCATTTTCCATGGAATTCTTCCCTACTGCCAGTTCAGGAAAGTGTGAAAGAGTATGACTTCGTGTTTTGTGTATTCTTTCTGTGAACTGAAAATAATTAAGAAAGAAACCTGCAGTTTGAATTCAGTCTTGATCTAAAAAAATAGCCTACGGCACATATTCAAGGAGATTTATCTGAATACAGCATTCCACAATGCTTGTTAAGGACTTATTTAAAAAACGCCAATTAAAAAGTTCTGTAAATACCAGAAAGCCAGAAACTACCATGTAACTTCAGTACCCAGAGGAAAGCTTTCAAGCATCACAAGCGAAATATTAGGAGATTAGGGGGAAGGAAGGGAAAGCATAAAGAGCATGAGAACTTGCCAGCAGCAGATGCAAAGATGACTAACACAACACAGACACCGAGAGCAGCGAGGGTAGTTTTTGTCAGAGGAAGAGAACGCCAGCAGCGCTTGCATGGCAACACACTCACCCCTCGGCACAATATGGCTGCGATTTGTCTTGTTCTTCCAAGATGTTAGACACAAGTCCATATAAATCTGTTTCACTGCCATAATCATTCCTTTCAGGTTGAATCCTGAAAATGAATTGCATATTAATTAAAATTATTACTTCGTTCAAAATAATTCATAGGCTAAATTAATCAAACAAACAAAATCCATCTACTCCTTCAACACACACATTCTCTCTCTGTCAGAAATGGCTACCTGGACTTCATATTAATCTGAGAAGCAGCAGGCTGCTTAGCATCATCTCCATAGGTAGACCATGGTGCATATAAAAGGGAAGCGTCCACAGGTGCCGAGTACTCTGATGTCGAAAGGGAAGAACTGTAGGTCTGAGGTAGCTCTACATTCTCTTCATTCTGCATTTTATATACAATAAAAGCACCGATTTTAATATTAAACACATCAAATTGCCATTTCATCATTCTACGCAGTTGTAACTGAGTTCACCCTTGGCGTAACCAGAGCATGAGAAGCCAGCAAGCCACGTACTCGCTGACATAATGCTACAGGTAACTTCTGCTGCTGACTACTGCCCAGCGCACATACGCATAGGCGTAAAAATTTCAGCCCACATCAGCCTGAAAGGCCTGTACCAGTTTCTAACAGATGATCACCAACAGGAGTCAGGAGACGCTCCCTTCCTCCCAATCACTACAGGTTATTTAAGCTACTGGAGAAAACTTAGAGCCAATTCTTTTCTAGAGAAAAGGTCTTCTACCCAGTTTAAGTGAAAAGGAGCAATTGGTTGTTTGGTTTAAACTCCATATGCTTTCTTAGCTCTTAGTAAGTGAAAAAATTAATGGTGTTTTCACAGGGTTAAATGTAAAAGATGCACAGTATACTGCTTTACGGAGCAAAGTAGTCTAGCAGCTACAGAAAGTGGCACGCAAAGCCAGGTTTTATTCCCAGTAAGGCTTTCTGCCTAACTACAGGCAGGTGTCTCTATATCACGTCTCGGTTTTCCATGTCTGTAAAATACTTCTGTAAGCAAAGAAAGATGCCCAGCTGCTGGACTTAAGGACATGGAACCACAAAGACAAACGAGTCTCAGATAGAAAAAGTAATTGGTCTGTTATCGAATTACTGGGAATGAGTTTTCATTCATTTATTTGAGTCTTTTACCTCAGTGAATGTTTATGGCTATGAAAAGCAAAATGAAAAGCGAGGTCTGATGTATTTAACTGTCCTGGCATTTTCCACTGCTCCGACTGAGAACCCCCTGCTCAACAGGCTGGTTTGTACGAACGCTTGGACTCTGCCACTGTGGTATGGCATAGAAATATCTGCTGTGATACCTAAGCTTCCCCTTCTTACCGACTTCTCAGTTTTCCTAAAAATAGCCATTTGCTCCTCACTTTGTCTACAATTGTTTATGGTAACAGAAGAAAAAAGAACACAGTGAAATGCTGTTTTACTAAACACTGCATGTTCCTTCCTCGGCGACTGTATTACAAAAAGTCACCGTCCTTTCTGATTAACATTACGACGATGGAAATTTATTATGAATAAATCAAACACGGTGATTTGTGTTTGCCAGTATAAGCAACTGTATTAGAAATATTTTCTGACCATTTTGTTTACAAGCAACCCAAACTCTTACACAGATATAAAACATTCATTTATAATCAAATGAACCTGTGCTTTGTAGCAACCATATAGCGAGCCAGAGCCTGTCATTACGCTACTGAATGCGTCAGTCAGCCTCCCGCCAGCTTCTGCGCTACTCCAGCAGCGACTGCCACCTCTGAACGCAACTTTAGGCTATGCAAGACAAGGAAAAAAAAGTGGTAGGACATAATTATACATAGACCTGAGAGTTGTAGTTTTATACCAACGTGAACTTCTTTAACACGTTAATTTACCTGTGGATTCTGCTCATCTGCGTTTTCAGGTAGGCAGTTCTACGTATTGGCATTAGAACACTTTCCTATTTGCCCTTAGAGAAAAGCTTAACCCAACAAACCACAAGAAATTCACATTTGTTTCGAGACAGAGGAGGTGCAGCTGAAGAGGAAACCTGCGTTCTCTCCATTTACACGAGCTGAGCTTCTGAAGGGCTGACCCGCCACAGGAGAACATCAAGTACGGAAGAATTATCATCCCTGTCACCAACGGCAGCAGAGGAGCCATTCAGCCTTCCACACATCGCTGACACCTCTGGGCCTTCCATCACTGTTCCTGTTACATCGTTTATGTTACAGGAATGCATGTATGTGCATTTTCAGATTTCAGGAGCTAGACTTTTGCTATAATACACACACTGGGAGCCACGGTGGAAATCTGCCCCATTCTGTAACTATGGGAGAAACAGCTTCCACCGAAGCAACACCCCTCTCCCCACCACCAACCTGGAAGTGCTCAGAGACAGGCGGCCAGTGGGAGCAAGGAAGGAAAACCAAACAAGAAGTTAGGCGTCTTTTCTTCCCTTCTTCAGGTGAGGTACACAAGGAGAATTTAAAGTTAAATTAAAACTGACTAGCTAAAAAAACGTTTTAGCTCACAAATAAATAAGTTAAGTTATTTGCATAATATTTAAAATATTACCATAGAAGCTCATTTGAAATGCTTATTAAATTCAGAAACAGTTCAAGGTTCACAGGACTAGCGTTCTGTAAGTATTCTGAATAAGCACTCCTCTCTGAAAAGACGATCTTCTGTGGCTACCTGCGGATGCAAACAGACTTTACATCCAATGCATGTGGTCTACAGCGTGATCTTCCTTCTAGTTTACACCGCAGTTACACCAATGTATTACACAGCTTTTTTCATACACATTTTACAAATATGTGAACATGCAAAGTCAGAATTAGTGTGGAACACAGCTCCATTTCTTATACTAATTATGCCATGTTTTCTCCTTAGTTATCTCCTTGTTCAGCAAGGACACCCAGCACTTACATGACTTGTGATCTCAAAGAATGAGGAACCGTATAGGTAGAAGGGGCTACTACAGATTTGTGACACCCCCCACACCCGCCAAACCATACACACTCATTTATTTCCCAAATGGAAGTTTTTCAGGACACCGAAAAGCATTTTCCCGACGCTCCCGAGCTGTTTCACAGCATCTGTTACCACAAGACAGGCCCTGGTCTAGGCGACGCCAGGCCTTGGGCGGCCCCACACAGGAGGGGCCTGAGAAAAGCCCGGTTGCGGCTGCAAACACCCCGCGGCGAGAAGGGCGCGAAGCCTCGCCCAGCCTCAGCCCTGCTCGGTTACCGGCGCCCAGCCGGAGCCCCGGGACAGCTCCAACCGCCCGCTGGGCTTCTGACAGAACGAGTCGCACGGCCCAGCCTCCCCCCAGCCCCC